TTTTTGCAACATGTCTAATATGGAAAAATGTTTTCCATGCTTTGATTTGTGTAATTGATATCATATTTCTTGTCTTCTCAAAGGGGTGGGAGGTAGGGAGAGCATTTGGAACTCAAAATTTAAAATAAATGAATGTTAAAAGATAAATAAATGAATTCACATTAAAAAATGGACATCTACCATTCTCTTTCATAGATGAATATGCAGCCAGTGTGCTTTTGGGTCCATGCAGCAGGCATGTTCATGGTAGGTTGTTGCTACCATTCTGGTTCTGCCACCAGAAACTATGAATCATATACAAACATAGGAATTAGGAATGAGGGCCTGTGTGTATATATGAGTCTCAGTAAGTTTGGATTGACAAAATGTTTTAGTTAATAAATTCTTGCTTAGACGACTTTTGAGGTTTCTTCCAATTCTATAATAAATCTTTAAAACTTCTGATTGGGTTGGCAATTTGCCCTCCTCTGGCTCCACAAATTTAGGAGCACAGCTTAATTTGGGGACATTGATATTTTGACCACAGAAGGTGCTTTGGACTAATGTGATTTGGGGGTAATGATATATTTCCTTCATCCTTTCCACAAGCATTTGGGGTTTGAGTTGTTGCTTATTTAGACTCAGAAGAATGAGGCTATCTCTGTACCTCTACCTTCTATTGATGAATATGCAGTCAGTATGCTTTGGATCTGGCCCAACAGACATGTCTGCCATGCACAACACATCTATGCCCTTAAGAGTTTCAACTCAACCCTATCTCAAGAATGAATGGAATTTGCAAAGAGACAAGTTTATGCTCATGGTCAATCAACAAACGTTATGTGCTAGGTACTATAGAAACTGACAGGAAAATCTTCCTATCAATTGGTTCCATTCTAAAATGGGCTATTTCAAGGGGTAGTAGGTTCTGTTTCAGTTGAAGTCTTTAAACAAGGACTGGATGACCACTTGTTAGATAAATATCATAGAGAGGATTCTTGTTCAGTCCCTTGAGTGCCCTCTGAGATCTCTTTCAACTCTGAGCTTCTGTAATTCAATCAGATGCTGAGTGTCTCAATGGACTCTTGAGGGCTTTGTGCTCTGGAAAACAAAACAAAACAAAATGACAATCAAAAAACAATAGGTAAGAAAGAAATATCATCTCTTTTATGAGATGCTGAGGTGCTCATGAGAAAATATGGTATATAATTAATGATGAATGATAGCTCACCAAAATCAGCAAGGTCAGAAAGGAAAAGAAAAAAACAAACAAACCATCTCAGTCATTGGTGTGTAACCACATTTTCTGCTTTTATTTGGATTTCAAGAGACAATACAGATAAAATACTTTGATCAAACACAAGTTTCTATTTGGTCAGAAGAACAGGTTGACATATAAGTCTTTTTTTCTGGCTGCAGGAAATGAAGCAGTGAGGGAAAATACCCATGACCTCCTGAAAGACCTGATGTGTCTTGTGTTATGGCACACATAACTTATAAATATACAGTGTTTGTACGTAGCATTGAAAAACAGAAGTGCACGTGCAAGATGAAACCAAGTTATTTATCCCCCTCTTCCTTCTCCATGTACTATGTCTTCACTCATCATGCCCTTTGCTCTTAGTCTAAGGAGTAGAATGTACTCTATATGCCCTGCAGATGGACTATTGATGACTTTAGCAGGTCGAGACACTGCTGTAATTGTGTGTGTGTTTTTCTATCCTCCTAGACAAAGCGGGACTCTTACTTTGATTTTCATTAAAACATCCCACTCTTGTCATAGTGGATCTCCCAGGAAGGGGGTTAGCAGTAAGGGCATGTTCTGCATGAGAGCCGATATGAAGGGCGGATGACTGAGCAAAGAGATAATATAGGGACAAATGCAGTTGTAGTTCTTACAATATCAAGATTCAGTACAGCTACCACACAAAAAGTGACACGACCAGAATATATTGTACAAGCTTATACAGCAACACATGTTGATTTGCAACACTGTACAGTTTAAATCTAAAGTGCACAGCCTCAATCTGAGGTGATGAGATAGGACTATCAATAGAATAAAAGGCAACACAATTACAGACACAATTTGTTTCCTTTTCTTGCTTTCTTCACATTCTTGTGACATTACACAAAGTCAGTACCGTTTCTACATTTCAGGTAAAATAAAAACGCACCGCACTTTTATTTCAAGTATTTTAAAGAAAAAAAGAAACACAATATTGCTTCAGAAACGAAAATGGCCATGTTGATTCTAGTTAAAGCTAAAACCAAAACTTTCCAAGGGTTATAAAGAACAGTCTCACATATGTAGGACTTAGCAAAGGGAACCTGGGCTAACTCTCAGAGATTCTTGTTTTCCCTTTACCAGGGGAGTGTAGACCAACTTTAAAATATTTTAATTGAAAGTCTCTGGATCTATTTGAGTTTTTGCTCTTGCCCTTGTTCACTAGGTCATAAATAGATGGGGACTTAGCTGCATAGTTTTAGGGGAAATATTCTTAAACATGGAGAAACTCTCTCCTTGGGGATGGGTGGACAGGGACCCTTTAGGTAAAAACTAATCTATAATTTCATGTTCAGGTGCAAAGATTTGAACTTTTGAATCCCATTAGCTCATTGGCATAGGAAGTGGCATACTCTCTGAGTTAACAGATGGCACCAGAAGGCATGGGCATCCCAGGCTACAAAGGGAAGAGATCAGGACATTGAGCGTCATTGTCTTCTTCAAGAAGGATGGATTTATTAGAGCTCTGGTCTAATAAAAATCACAATTAATTGCTGGTCCACTTCACAAAAGCTTGTAACACATAATCATATGCTGAATCCTGAAGGTCAGTTCATAGAAAGGAGTAGGAAGCTTGGCTGCAGAACAAATACCTGAATAACATTCTTATCCCACTGGAGAATAAATACGAAAACATATATTAAGAGTTATCATCTAACGTCTCCAGTGAATACATTGATAGGGGAAAAGGAGAGCTAGATCCAAAAGCCATGTATGCTTAAGCATGCATTTAAAAAAATACATAATTAGGGGCAGCTAGGTGGTGCAGTGAATAGAACTCTGGTCTTGGAGTCAGGAGGACCTGAGTTCAAATCCAGCCTCAGACACTTAACACTAGCTGTGTGATCCTGGGCAAGTCATTTAACCCCAGTCGCCAAAGCAAAAATAAATAAATAAAATAAATAAAAATACATAATTAAAGCAAGTTCTTGCATGAAACATAGGGGAAAGGATATAAGAGTTAGCTATTTCATTCAGGTATATAGCTACTATTATCAGGTAGAGAATCTCCCTCTTTTTTTGGTTTATTTTGATCAAAAGCAGTATTAGGGTATGTATTTATGAGTATTCTTCATTCCTCTCTGCTGTCCATAGAGATTCTATGACCCTCAATAATTTCTCAACATGTGTGGAGGGAAGGAGAACCTAGTGGATGGTTTATAGGGTCTGCAATATGAACTCAGGGACCTATCTCTGTGCCCACTTCCTTACGTGTTTTTTTCCCAAGGACAAATACGTGTCCACTTACCTTAATACTCCCAATATAAGAGGCTACTGGGAGAGACCTAGAGGAGTTAATCACTATTCTAACTTGGGAGACCTGCTACTCTAAGTACTTTGGTTGTTATTCCATATTCTTGGGGAGACAGTAACTGCATCAAGGATCTACTCAAGATGATGTCTCACTATGGGAATTTAAGAAAGTTTAAATTTGCATGGGAGTTAAAGAATCATCCATGTTATTTCAATTGCTCTTGATAGATTCCCAATATTAGTGAACTTGTCATTAAAGATAAGTGGGTATAATAAGTAAGCATATATGAAGTAAGTGACTTCTTTCTGGTCACCTACTGGAGGTAATGTAATATATAGAAAGATCTTTTAATTTTTTTACATAGATCTCTTTTCTGCCAAGTGGGAGTTTAGTTTTTTTTGGCTTATCACATCCTGGGAGCATGCTTCAATCACTTATGCTCAGTTCCTATTAGATTATATTTTCCATTTCCCTAATCTGAATGACCTAATTATTCAATGCTGTTCGGGAAGATACTTTGAAAATGAGTGTCAACTGTTCAGAGGGGAGGAAAGCACTGGAAGGCAGAAGAAATCAAATCAACCTCATAGACTCTTAGATTGAGGTTTGGTGAATACTGTATACTAAGCAGGTCAGCTGAGGGAAGACCATGTGGAAAACTTAATTGGGAAGAGTACCCTATAGTTGTCCTGTAATTGACCTAATCTAGCATTTTTAAGAGCTCTGATGCTCTTGGGTTTTGAAATACTAAACCTTAGAGATGTGACAAGCTGTGAGACATGTAGAAATAAGTTGTTCCCCATTTTAAGAATTTGTGGGTCTATGTTTCAAAATAAGAATTACTAAGTGTCTCATGTGCCTCCATTGGAAGGAAAAAATCTGTTTGGTTTTTCATTTCTGCCCCAGAAGCTTTTATAACCCATATAAAATAAAAATCTATACTTTACAAAATAGGATCTTCTTTATATATATATATTTCCTTTTGTAAAATTATATGTATTTAAATACATTTGAAATGTTGCTATAGGTAAATTAGAAATTCTTTTCTAATACTATGAAAAAGGCAAGAGTTTTTATTTTCGACATACATTTTATGTTTACTTTGTCTTTTTATCCCTACTGCACCCCAAAGAACATTTTGTAACTCTTGGGGAGAAATTTGGCACCATTCAACCCTACTACTCTGAAATGAAAATACATACTAACTTTGCTCACTTTGCTGGAATTGGGGGAACCAATTTTAACAGTTTTCAGCTTTTCCTTATTAATTGTACTGCTGATTATGAAAGAGGTATTCATCCTCAAACTTAAGGAAGGACTTTTAAAAGGAGCAATGTTTCCTGGTTTTTTAAACTGTACTCTACATTGACACCACAATATAGAAATAGATTCACTTTGGAACAAACTACAAATACATTCACACAGTTTGTGACAACTTAATTGTCTAGCTAGAGAGCTGGGATAGCTTGGTTGGCTGGATGATTATAAATCCTGTCCAAGGCGTTCTATTTCCTCAATCAGGAAATCAATGTCTTGATGAGTTGCTGCTGGATTTGAGATGACCATGCGAAAGAAATTGACTTTATCTCCCAAGGGTTGGTAGCTGACCATTGTGGTTCCATACTCCATCATTCTGGCTTTAATCACAGGGGCAACCTGTGGAAGAGACCAAATGATTGTGTCTTTTTTCTTAGACAAATGTAAAAAAAAAAAATGAATCTTTTTTTTTGAAACTATGTTTCCTTTAAAAAAATTTAGTACCGTATTTGTTTTCCCTTTAAGAAGTAAATTCTTAGTTCTCTTGAGATTAGACAAAGTTACTGGTTTAACAGTGCAATATGATTAAGACCTCTGGGTTATCATGGTATAGTGATGAGAGCATCAGAGAAAAGATTCTTTCATTTGAGACCTGGCTTTTCAATTACCAGCCACATGTCTTTATCAGAGACTTAGTTTCTTCATATATAAGATGAAGTGATTCAAACAGATTCTCTCTAAAGTCTCTTCCAACTCTAATATTATATTTGATTCCGTGATCTTCAGTGCTATTATGGGAAACAAATTATGGGACTTTTGTCACGTCTCACACTAACAAGTTAGGTATAATAGTTTTTTTTTAACTTTCTTGTGATGGCTAACTGATGAGAGATAGCATAAGCGATAGAAATGATGAGAGACAGAGAGGTAGTCTGGGTGTCAGGATTCAAGTCCTATTTCTGATACATGCTATCTGAGTGGTGGTGAACAAGTCACTTAACATCTCAGTGCTCCTAGGTAACTCTCTAAAATGTGACATTTGTAGAACAGGTGCTGATTTGTATTGGAAGGAGTTTTCTGACCCGGGGTCATTCCACACCAATGACAAAACAAAACAAAACAAACAATCCATTCTACAGTTCAAGTTGTGCATTGGTAGCCAAGAGATCCCGAGATGAATCCTGATATGGGTCCCCATAGAGTATTTGGAAAATAGTTGCATAGGATGAAGGAAACAGGTAGATAGGTTGTGATCTTCATCACTGGAAGAAGTACTCAAGACCACAGACTGTCAGAACATTGAAGCATTACCTGATTGGCTTTCTTTTTTAAAGGGTGCTAGTGGTTTCTTAGGGGAAGGTGTAAATTATTTATTATTATGCTAGAGAGTAGAATGCCTAACAGCTATTCTAACCCAATAAATATAAATACATTAGAAATAAGATTTGGAAAGCTGAATAGGAAGGACAGAAGACAAATAGACCAGTAGTAACTTCCATTTGTTTCAAGAGTATTTTAAGTTTTCTGTGCTCCAACTCCATCATATTTCATTTTAAATCTTTTTTTTGGTAACATTTCAGTTTCTAAAAATCATGGTATTCTGGTGAAGTGGAGATAATTCAGAATAAGTATTTACATTGTCCAACTGGAAGAGGGAATGTGAGGAAGTGGGCAGAGTAGCATGGATACATCAAATATAAATCTAACAGAAGCGTAAAACAGATTTAGTTTCACAAAATGAGTTCTGGTCTAACGGCTAAATGTAAGTCTAAGCCTATGAAGCTGTTGTTATTGTTGAGTCATTTTTCGGTCATGTCTAACTCTCTGTGAACCAATTTAGGGTTTTCTTGGCAAAGATACTAGAGTAGTTCACCATTTCCTTCTCCAGCTCATTTTACAAATGAGAAGATTGAGACAAACAGGATTAAGTGGTCACATAGCTAGTAAATATCTGAGGCCAGATTTGAATTCAGGAAGATGAAATCTTTCTGATTCCAAGTCCAGTACTCTATCTACTGTGCCACCCAGCTGCCCATAGCCTATGGAATCAAGTCCCAATTCCTCAGTCTACTATTCAAGGCTCCACTCAAGTCTTACCTCCTTCATAAGGTTCTACATGGCAACATTAGCTAACATTTCCCCCTTACTTCAAAGAACTGTATTTGTAGTCTTCACCTTGGTTATCTACTGTTCTTTAGTCATTTTGTATATGTACATTTTATCTCTTTAATTAGGTTTTTAAACTTCTTAAAAGCAAGGACTGTCTTACATTTCTGCATCCCCTTAGCCTAACACAATGAAGAGCATATAGTAGGAACTTACTAGACACAAAACTATGTAGAATGAACACAATAAAAAAGCTTTCTATACAGTGGTATAACTTTAAATTCTAGATCCCTAAACAAAAGTTTCAAGGAAGGCCCCTGTCTTTGGCTCAGAAGAGGCAGTGAGGTATAATGGAAAGAGTACTAGATTTGATGTTGGAATACCTGGACTTCAGGTAAGTCATTTGACTTCTGTTTCCTCATCTGTAAAATGGCTATCATAATACTTGCACTGTTTACTTCACCTGGTTCTGAGGAAGCTCAAAAAGTTAGAGGATATAAAAGAATTTTATAACAAAAGCATAAAGTAGTATAAAAAGTCAGCTGTGCTAATTGCAAAATGGAAAAGGAAAGGTATCCCAGGGAAAATGGGATGTTTGTATATGTATGTATGAACGTATGTGTGTGTGTGTGTGTGTGTGTGTGTGTGTGTGAGAGAGAGAGAGAGAGAGAGACAGAGAGACAATGAGACAGAGAGAGAGAGAGAAAGAGAGAGAAAGAGAGTGCTGCATGTTGGAGGGCTTCTTGGACAGTATGTTAGTAAATATTCCCACTATCAATATATCTTTCAGTGATTCTAAAACTGAGTCTTCCCTTGAATAGTTTCTGTGAGGTAACATGTTTTACTGATACACAGGAAAAATTATATGATACTGTTATGGATGATAGCACAAGAATGTTAGTCATCCTAGGGACTTCAGGTTTATTTGAGGCACAAGTCCAACAATTTATTTTGCCTTTCAGAAATGGAGATTGTGTTTGTTTTTCTCTCCTAGATATTTAGCTTCTATTAATGGAAATAAAAATCAAAGTGATAATCGCTATAATCTTGTGATTTCTGAATCCTTATTCCTTTCCATAATAGCTTCTCTGCAGTTCCTTTCCTTAAAATGTCTAACACATATGAAATCTTTAGTTTAGGTTATAGGACCAGATTGGATAAACGCACTGGGAGTTCTTGGGCAAATCTAGTTTCCTTATCTGTTAAAAGAGAAGGTTGAACTAGATTACTTACAAGACTTCTTCCTACTCTAAACATACTATGATTGATGGAATGGTAGAAAGAGCTTTGGATTTGGCATCAGAAGACCTGGGTCCAAATCCTGATTCTTCTACTTATTTTGTAACTGACCTTGGACTCTGAGAATTAGTTTCTTTGTCTGTAAAATTAATGGGCTGGACTTCATAATTTCTAAGGTCATTTCCTGCTTGGAATGTGCTAAAATTCTGTATGACTTGTACCCATACTCAACATTGTCCTCTAATGGTGAGCTAACATACGGTGTGCTCTTCCCACTGGCATGAATGCTGAATCTGAACTGAGATTTGAAACTGGAATCTATCTAGTTGGAGTACTAGATAGTACTAGGTGAGTGCAGGGAGTGCACCTCAACAGAGGCAGACAAAAACTAAGTCCTGACGGAAAATACAGTGCTGCTGGACAGAATCACCTGGAAAATGGAAGTGGAGGAAACAAGTGAGGCTAAAGACTAGCAATTGATCGTATGCACAACCAGAACCAGAAATCTCCAATTAGAAAAGGAACTCCAGTTTCTGAGACCAATTTGAGAACTATATGAATATGAAGAAACTTAAGAAACAAGAAAGGATCCCTAATTGTTTCTATGTTTTAGCTGGTTGTTAGATTTAATGTCTGCAGATGGAGGGATGAATTTATATGAGGTCCTTATACAACATCTAGACCTTTGTGGCTATTCAAAACATGTAAGATACTGATCACAACGGACTTGACATTAAGTCCCAACTTAATGCCTAAATGGGTAACCCGAGCAAACAGCATCTAAATGGCAGAATTTTGTGAAATGTGATCACCTCTATTTTTTTAAATTAGTGAAAATCAAAGGTCAAAACATTAATCTGTTATCAGTTCACATGCCAGACAGACTTTGGAATAAACAGTATCAAAGTCCACCTGCCTTTGAACCTGGCAAATCCACAGTTGTCTAAATAGTTGTGTTACTTCTGGAAGATGCTGTAAAAGACGCAGTGCCAAATAAATGGAATATCAGTGGCAACTGATTAAACACTAACAATGAGTGCAAAGGGAGAATAAGATTCTGATGACTTGGATGCATGTATTGAGTTCTCATTTCCTTCTAGACATCAGCAGAATAAAGAAACCCACTGGGAAAAGGCTTCCCTCTCTTTCAAACTGAGAGTCCACTGGAGATCTAATCAACAGGAGCCCTGTTGGGGCTGTGGAAGTGGAGATGAAGGGCATTAGGAGATCATTCTTTACTGCTGGTCCATTAGCTTTCTCATGCTTGCTAAAATAAGGGCCAGTGAACATTTCTCCTGCTTGAGTCAACATTTGCTTTCTCCAAAGAGGGCTTATGTTAAAGTAGCAGGAATTAGGCAGGGGAGAAAGCATAGAAAATCTATTCCTACTGTGTATTAGCAAATCATAAGATATTAACACACCTATAGCTAGCTATAAAGTTTGAAAACAATTTTACATTCTCTCTCTGTCTCTCTCTCTCTGTCTCTCTCTCTCTGTCTCTCTCTCTCTCTCTCTCTCTTTGTCCCTCTTTGTTTTTCTCTCTGTCTCTCTCTCTCTCTGTCTCTTCATGCCCACCAAAAACTCCCTACAGAGAAACTCCTTCTACCAATGCAGATATAAAGACAGACAACTCCCCTCTTACTTATGGGCTTAGAGAGTTGCTTGGGGCACTGAAGTGAAATGTCTTGCCCATAGTCACACAGCCAGCCTGTGTATATGTCAAAAGCAGGATTTGAGCCATTTTTTTTCTTATGTCAAGGTTGGCCACTCTATCTACTATAGCATTTATTTCTCTTAAAGTGCTATAAATACTACTCATTTTAATAACAACAATAATAAAAGAAGATGAAGAAAACTAATCTTGAACTTTAAAGGCCACATTCATTTATCAAATTTCCCTTTCCTCCTCTATTACCCAATATTTAAAAAGCATTTACTATAGTACATCCTTCCTAAAAGTACACATCCAATGTTGTCTTTACTCTTTATTTTAGATCCATTCCTACTCATTTGTAAACCCTTCAAGCCATAATGGACTGTATTAAGGAGATAGA